CCGGCTCGATCAGTAGTATACTCGTCCGTGGGCCGAGTTTCCCGACGCTGAATCCCATGAACTGCGACAATGGTTCGCCCTCGTGGGTCCAGGCGATCTCAATTGGCGTGTCGCCTATCGGTACCATGCATGCCAATTGGGCGGCCTGCCCGGCATAGATCGGTCGGTCTCCAAAATCGAACGGATTGATCCGTGGCAGGACTGCAACGGAACGGCAGATAGATCCAAGTTCCCGTAACGATCTTCATTCCGGTTTCTTCGCGATCGACGCGAATGATCGTGGTTGATCGTCTGTCGTCATTCGCGTCCGTTTTCTGTAATACGCTCTTCCGTCCAAGAAACTAACGTTGCTTTTTCTCATGTTTTTATTCGGCGTGCTGTTATTCTCCGTAGATTGCACGAAAAATAATCGATGGCTCTAAACTAAAATTGCGTTGGAATAATCGGAACTGGCAGTCCATCGACTGACTTCTGTAACCGAGCTGTCGAGATCAGATCAGAGATGAGAGAAGGGATGCGGAGTGATAGAGAACGTGCCAGAGAATGAGAGACAGTTCTGGGCCGGGAGAGAATGGGGGACACGGCTCATCTCGTAGTAATCGACGCCTCGTACGTGATTCAAACAGACGTGGGCAACACAAACTACTCTCTCGCCTATACGAATCAACTAAATAGTTTAACCTCGTTACAAGGAAGATAACTCTCTATAGATAGAAAGGAGGAATATGCGTCGAGCAATGCAGATTTCCAGACACACATATCTCGTAATATCATTACAATACAGTTAGGATAGACAGAGATTGGAGATTTTACGACGTACGTGAAGCGGCAGCAAGGGGCGTAAATCTAACATATCGAAACGCTCTACTGATAGATATATAAATATATATATATATATATTGTAAGTGTGTGTAACTACAGCCGAATAAAAGGGTAAACGTACCACTGCTTTCCGCTCAAATAGTAACACGCATACAAAACGGTAGTACTCTCACTACGCGTACGCCCGTTAAACACCATCATCATGCCGCGCGGTTTCGCTTTGTGTTAAAGAAAATATACGTATATATATGTATTTTTTATTTTATTCTCTGTCTTTTACTGGATGCTTTTGTGTATTCGTTTTCTCTGTACCGTTCACTTTCAGATGGGCGCTGTGCCGAGCACTGCCCGCTGGATTATCGGCGACGCAAGCATACTCCCCGGCGTGTTCTCCCCTGACAGCGGGAATCGTCAGGGCTGAGACTCTATCCCCCAACGCGGTGATACCCACTCCTTCGCCTACCTCTAAATGGCGGCCCTCGAACAACCACTTGAGCGAAATCGGTGTGTCCCCTTTCACGACCGCGCAATGGACGATTATCAGATCGCCGGAGTTGGCCTCGTCGAACGCGAACGGCTGCAGATGTGGAGCGACTGCCGGGAGATAGAGAACGAATAGAAACTAGAGACAACAGGCAATAATAGAACGAAGAGAGAAAGAGAAAAAGAGTAAGAGAGAAAGAGAGAGACACGCGGGCGAGAATAAATGTCTCGCTTATCGAGGCGAATTTGCGCCGCATGAGATTTAAGACGCGATATCATTGAGCGCGATTAGCTCGGTAATTGTAATCGTAACAGCTGCTCTCGTGTCTGACCGTATCCGCAAAAATGGCGATTGCAACCTAAACTTTGTCGCACAAAGATCGGTAAGAGCGCGACGGATTATATTTGAATGAAAATCGATCTTGAACCGAGTGTCTATGGCTATGGGAAGAAGCGGCGGTCTAGGATGACGGATAGGGAAGCAGCTTGGATATACGGGATTGAGGAGAATTCGCAGGAACTCAACGAAATATCGAGTAGATCCTTGCGGATCAGAGTATGCACCGTTCACAATGAGATCGGCCGACAGCTCGTGTCTGCCGGCAAGGTTTTCCGCGACACACGTGTACGTTCCAGCATGGGTCGCCTGGACGGATCCTATGCTGAGTATGGCGCCACGTCCGCCCAAATCCACGATCGAGATTCCGGAGTGCGGCGAGATCGCATGACCGTTTAAGGTCCAACGGAGCTGCAAGGGTTGATCGCCCTCGACCACTGCGCACGGTACCGTTACTACTTGACCTGAGTTAAGCGGCTCCTCGCCGAACGCGAATGGCAATAATTTCGGAATGACTGGAAGAGAGAAAGAGAAAGAGGTCAGAAAAGGAGAGAAAGGGTCTTAGAAGCCGCAATAGGCTACATCAGCACAGACGGAGTTGCGCGATTATTAGATCGGCGATAAGAAGTTGTATTATCTCGCGAAACATCCTCGCTTCATTCGTCCTCTCTTCGATTCTTCTTATTTCCGTTTATTTTTAAGTCCGTATTATGATGAGCGTGTCATTCTTGTACTGTATCAGGATGCTATTTCACTTGTGTGTTTTTGTCACAGACTTGAAAAATTTATCGTACGACAAAAACGCACAAATGTAATCCCACCCTAACGCTGTATAATGTTTCGCGATGCTGATCAATAATAAAATCAAAAGAATGAACAGGCGGGTATAACCAAAGAAATTGAGAAAAAATATCATGTTCGATAACAACATTTGGTGACTAAAATGACAGTGGCGGGCTCTAGAAAGACACACGTCGTGCTACGAGTAATATGAAAAGCGAAGATACGGAGAAACTCAGAGAGAAATAACGGCATGGGATAAAAGAATAAAACGGGAACGAGGCCTCGAGAGACTCGTAAAAAAGATCGGAGAGGTGGATAAATCAGATGAGGATAAATTCAGACGAAAGATGGCTAAATACAGAAATGCAAACTGTGGCCATAGGCTTGTCGAAAGGTGTACCATTCACGTTTAACATGGCTGAATAGGAGGTCGATCCAGCTGCGTTTGAAGCAACGCAGGTGTATTCCCCGGCGTGTCGCGCAGCTACCGATTCGATGATCAGTTGTTTGACGCGCTTTCCAGTATCGGATACAATCACGTCGCCGTGATAAGACTGTATAGGACGACTGTCGAAGATCCATGTGATCTCCAGAGGAAAATCGCCTTTGGTCACTACGCACTGCACCGACACCAGATCTCCGGCATTAACGGGTTCCTCGCCGAAGGAGATCGGTGCTATCTGTGGGGAGACTGTGATACGAAAAAGAAGATAAAGTATATGATTCGAAAAAGAAGGAAAAATCACGCATATCTTGTAAAATCCGATGAATACGTGTTTGGATTTCTTAGCCTTGAGAGTTCAAAAACGTGAGGAACGAATAGTTTTTGCGATTTTTTGCATAAAGATATGAGAGGAATAAAATTGAAGGTAGCTTTGGTTTTTCGTGATGTGGATCGATATCCAAGGACCGATAGCTTTAACGATTAAAATTTGTTATTGGAGAGGATAGATTTCGAAATACTTTGCAGGATAAAGTGCTGGCGGTGACACTACGTCTTGACATGCGGCTTTTTTTAAATACCATTGACCGATAAAACGGCGGAACGGCTGACGGATCCGACCAGATTGCTCGCGACGCAGCTATATTCGCCAGCATGACGGGCAGTCACAGATTCAATGGTCAGGACGGATGTTTTTTTCCCGGTATTTGTGATTATCACGTCCGGATGATTGAGACGCGTAATAATTTCGCCATTGAGGCTCCACCGTATTTCGATTGGTAGATCACCCTTTAAAATGCTACACATTGCAGAAACTTGCTCGCCCCAATTAGCTGGTTCTTCACTGATAGAAAATGGAGCAATTTGCGGGGCGACTGAAAACAATCGCAGAAAATGATCAATATAACGGTGTATATAAAAAAATGTATAAACTTTTCTTTGGTGTAAATTGGAATCGTAGAATTTATATATGCATCGTCGAGCAAACGTACTCCGCTTTCAACGCTTTCATCGCTTCCTTAATAATCTTAATAATCTTATAGGTCGTGTCATTGCTAAACTTTCGTGTTTGTACGTTATCAATTGCCAACTATACCTCACGCGACGGGACGGTTTTAGAGGAGTGCCATGTTATCGTTGTATACGCGAGGATAGGAGAGCAGTTTCGTCTAGGTACGTTATGCTTGCAAGCGGAATCTCAAGCTCAATCTCTCGATCGCAACGAGGCACTTGATTTCATGCCATGCCAGTACCGTTCACAGCCAAGGTGGCGGAGTAACTCGTCGCTCCGGCAGCATTCGAGGCTGTGCAAGTATACTCCCCGGCGTGTCTCGGACTCACAGCCTCGATTGTCATTACACTGACTCGCTTGCTGGTACTCGATATCGATATATCTCCGTAATTCTCCTTGGTGATAGCCTCGCCATTCAACGCCCACGCTACTTCGATCGGCAGGTCTCCCTTCAGAACCGTACAAACCGACGAGACCGCTTCGCCCCAATTCGCGGGCTCGTCACTGATCGAGAACGGCGCTATCTGCGGAGCGACTGAAAACGATTTTCCAAAATATGACAAACCTATTTACGCAGGATAAATCCATTGAGTTCGAACATTTGCGTACCACACGAGAAAAACCTTATTGCAAAGATGCCTGTTATAGGGAGAATATTATATAGAACAACATTTTTCTAGTCGTGATCTAATTCACTATCTTGATATTTGTTTCATTATTATTTTATGTTTTCTTACTAGTATATTTCTATCGCCATATATATTTTTCTTCGTATAAATAATATAATAAATAATAGATTTTAATTCGAGGAAGATATAAAGATATAGGCAAATTCAGTGAGATAATACCTATTCATGATGTCGTTGCTTCGAGCTAACATAATGTTATAAGATAGTGAGATGCAAAACGCCCGCGAATGCGCGATAAGGCCAGACAGACGACAGACAAATGCGTCCTCACCATACTCCCCATATTCGACGAAGCGCAAGGGAATGTTGAAAAGATTATGAGCACTGGTGAAGAGATTGAAGGAGATATGATGAAAAGGAAGGTTTTGTCTTCGCCCGGCGAAGGAAGAATAGTCGAAATGTCGTCGCGTATATAGGTACACGTGTACACATGCGCGCGATGTTACCGTTCACGGCTAGAGCGGCCGTATGGCTGGAGGCTCCGGCTTTGTTCGACGCGGTGCAAGTGTACTCGCCGGCGTGTCTAGCCGCGACAGCATCGATCGACAGGACGCTCAGGCGCTTGCTCTTCGTAATAGAGAACTGATCTGTACTTTCGACGGATATCGGCTCGCCGTTGAACGCCCAGGCAATGTCCATCGGGAAGTCCCCCTTGAGAATGGAACAGGTCGCAGAGATCGCCTCGCCCGAGTTTATCGGCTCGTCGCCGAACGTGAACGGGAAAATCTGCGGAGCAACTGCGATCGCGAGTCGCGCGTGAGAATCGATAAATAACATCCACGTGTTGGTAAAATCCCCTCACGATTCTTACGGTCTTTTTACGATCCTCGTGAGACGGTCGTCGTCGGCAAGCGTAACGATTCACGGCGATTATATAGGAACAAGGGTATCGTATTATGAGATTAAGACAATGCGATGAGGCAGGTTTTAATGATCTATGAATCGCAATGATGGATTAGGCAAGTGCTGTACGACGTTTAGCTGACGTGCATGTGTGCTTCTGGAAATATGTAGATACCGTTGACGACGAGGGTGGTCGAATGGCTGACGTTGCCGGCTCTGTTCGTAGCTACACACGTGTACTCGCCCGCATGCCTCGCGGCCACGGATTCGATGCTGAGAGCACTCATATGTTTATTTATGTTCGTGATCGTAATATCAGAATCGTGCAAACTAATCGGTTTGCCGTTAAACGTCCAAACGATCTTTACGGGAAAATCGCCTTTCACAATGGAACACGTCGCCGAAACCATGTCGCCCCAATTCGCCGGTCCGTCACTGATCGCGAAAGGCCCTATGTGCGGCGCAACTATAATATTACAATATTATAATAAATCAGAGATCAATTTCATGTTAAATTTAACTCTATCCAAAGTAATGAAGAACAAATATTGGACTTATAATAATTAAATTCAGCTTGGAAGCGTCACAAATTTTGCTCGTAGAATCAATCCTTTCAACGACGCGTCTGAGTATGACTTTGTTCCTAGTATCGCTAAAATAGGAGGAATTAAAGGATTATCGATGAGATTTTTCAATATCAAGTTGATAATATTCTTTTTCCGAGCTTCCGAAAGAAAGGAATTGAAGGGAATCGTGGGAATGATGAATCGCTCTGCACATGCACGATAGGACGAAGTGAGAAAAGCTACGCGAAACACAAGACGTGGGAGACCTTTATACCATTCACGGCCAGTGATGCGGAATAACTCGTTCCACCAGCAACGTTGCTAGCCGTGCAGGTGTATTCCCCGGCATGGCGTGCCGTCACGGCATCGATTGTAAGCAGGCTGACGCGCTTGCTGGTACTAACTATCGATATGTCGGGATGATCTCGAGAAATTGGCTCGCCGTTGTGTGCCCACTCGATCTGGATCGGGTGATCGCCCTTCAACACCGTGCAAGTTACAGTGATGGTGTCACCCCAATTCGCCGGTTCCTCGCCGATCACAAATGGCATGATTTCAGGGGCAACTAAGGATATGTCTTAATTATAGCCCTATTTTACTTTCGTCAAACTTTAAGTACGGTTTCTCGCCAAATGTTTATATAATACCATATTACACCTAATACACTTAATATAATTGTAATATATAGACAAGATCTATATGTATATTTAAATCTCTTTCTTCGTCTTGTGATATCATGAGTATAGCCTGTCACTTTTGTTAAACCTGAGAACGTGAAGGAACATGAGGACCTCTTGGGAATGAGTGTGTAAGTATAGTATTAATGTGAAGCTATATACGTGGAAGACTCATACATGCACTGTAGAATTAATAGAAACTTCGAAGAACGTAATATGGTACCGTTGACGGCTAAGGAAGCGGAATAGCTCGTTCCACCGGCAGCGTTAGTGGCTACGCAAGTGTACTCTCCGGCATGGTTAGCCGTAACAGCGTCGATCGTAAGTAGGCTGACGCGTTTGCTCGTGACTATTGTTATATCAGAAACATCGTGAGAGATCGGCTGGCCGTTGAGCGCCCACTCGATCTGAATCGGTTGATCTCCTTTCAAAATGGTGCATGTCGCGGTGACTGTCTCTCCCCAATTCGCCGGTTTCTCACTGAGTACGAAAGGAGCTATCTCCGGAGCAACTAAAGTGGACAAATGACCGATCGTGTAGCAACCAATCTACTACAAGTTGATGGTATAACACTGACAAGTATAAGTATAATAATACATGTCTTTTACGATCTGACAACGCTGAAGACCACGATTGACCATCGACGATGATTTTGAGAGGAGCTGGAAGGGGAAGAGTAATAATGACAAATAATGGAAAATGATGGGATGTAGAGGACAAATACACAGGAAATCTCTCAGACAAGATGTACCGTTCACAGTTAAAGCCGCTGAATAACTGGTCGCTCCGGCTTTATTCGACGCCGAGCACGTGTACTCTCCTGCGTGTCTCGCAGCCACGGACTCGATGCTGAGGATGCTATTCTTCCGAGTTGTCGCCAAGATATTAATGTCCGAACGATCTGGCCGAATCGGCTCGCCGTTCAAAGCCCACGTGATCTCGATCGGTAAATCGCCCTTGAGAATAGCGCACACCACGGAAATGGAATCGCCCCAGTTGGCTGGTTCCTCGGCGATATCGAACGGTGCAATTTGCGGTGCAACTGCAACGGGTATTACGTGTTTTTTCCCCTCTTTTTTCCTCTATATAAATTGTCAATCTTCTTGACAATTACTTGAAATGGCAACGCTAGAAAAAGATTTGAAGACGAAGAAGAAATGAATAGAGCTGTCAGTATAGCTATCGGTCTTTTTCCATTAAACGTCCGAATACACACGCGCGAGTTTCGATCGGGAAGAAAAGGGCGAGGAGAGTAGGAGGGAAAAACGAATCCAAGATCAACATTCTTTTCTAACGATTGTCGTAGATACCGTTGACTGTCAACTCCGCGGAATAAGTGATTGCGCCAGCAGCATTGGAGGCAACGCAAGTGTAAGTGCCCGCATGACTAGGACTCGCAGAATCTATAGACAGCAGACTGTTCCTCTTGGTAGTGGTCACGGACATTCGATGATTCTCCTCGATAGGCATTCCATTCAACGCCCACGTAATCTCTAACGGGGTGTCCCCGTTAACCACCGTACAAACCGCCGATACAGAGTCACCCCAATTAACCGCCCTGTCGGCCATTTCGAAGGGTGCGATGCGCGGCGGTACTGTCAAGGTCATAGAAAAACTACGTAACATTGAACCAGTATAAAAAAAAATGATTCGTGAAGAATTATCGATCGTAACAATCTTGGTCTTTCACGATTCTTTCTCAAGATGCAATGATTTTCTAGAAAGTTTGGTCGTATAAAGAAACTCAACAAAAAGGATATCATTGACATTTTCAACTACGATACGCGATTATCATTATTAATTACATCTTGAAGCTGCGGCGCATTTACCGTACACGCAATTTTTGTCTGGGTGCCACAGAGCGCTAAGAGAAGCATAGCCCGATATTACGTGCGTCCAACCAACCACCCAACCGTCATTGATTCAAACTGGTCAAGCGTACCGTTCACCGAAAGAACCGAAGAGTGGGTAGCAGTTCCAGCCGTGTTGCTCGCAGTGCACGAGTACTCGCCCGCGTGTCTTGCGGCTACCGATTCGATCGTCAGTTGGCTGGCCCGTTTGCTACTCCTGCTTATCACTATGTCGGGATTGTAATTGTGCTCGTCGAATGCGCCATTCGCGATGTCGATCACACGCTCGTTAAATGACCAGATTATGTCGATAGGCAGGTCGCCTTTTATCACGGCACATTGAACAGTCGCCATCTCCCCCGCATTGGCAGCTTCATCACCAAAAGTGAAAGGTGCCAGTTGCGGTGCAACTGTAATCGCGAAGGGCACACTCGTGAATCGCACGTAGAAGCTTTCGGAGTGGCGCCCGAACACTCTCAGTAAGATTACGGGAAATGTTACCGAATCACAAACTCAGAATCAAATTAGATGACTCATAAAATAGCACCTTTGAATCTTCAGAGGATAGATCGGGGAAGGATAGGGAACAATATTTCAATAGAAAACATCGAACAATATCATAATGATATACATTATAAAGCGATACAGGAAAAGGTTCTCAAATAAAATAAAAACAAAAGTAAAGGAAAGGTTCAAATGAAACAAAAACAAAATGAAGGAAAAAAAATATACAAGGACCATCGTTTCGCTGTCACTGCGGGATGGACCGTACGTTGTCGTCTGTGACGATAATCTCGCTGCTAGAAGTACATTGCGCAGGATTATCGTCTCGACAATGACAGTGAGCGCGAAGAGCGGTGATTACTCAATTGATATATTATTGCAGAAATAGAAGAAGTTACAAAAGGATAATAAAACTGTACGTATACAGGGCATATGTATATGTAAGGCAGTGCGTTTCTTTTTACATATACGAGCGCGATACCGTTCACCGAAAGTACAGCGATGTGACTGTCGGATCCGGCAGCATTGGTCGCAGTACATTTGTATCTTCCAGCATGTCTCGCCGCCACGCTGTCGATGCTCAAGAAGCTGACTCTCTTATTGGTCACGATACTAACATCTGGCCGACTCGAGTTGATTGGGATGTCGTCGAAGGTCCACATCAATTTTACAGGGAAGTCACCTTTGACGATCGTGCAAGAAACCGACAGCATCTCGCCGGAGTTGAGGGGATCGTCACCGAAGGAAAACTGAAGGATCTGTGGCGCGACTGCGTGAACGACAGCGGCACAGACGAAGGAGTATAATGACAGACAAAGGAGGGTATAATAAGAGACAGAAAGTGTGATAGTGATCGGTGATGGGATAAAAAAATATGTACGAGTGAATGTTAAACGAGTTAAAAATTTTCTTGATAAAAAAAAACTTTTTTATCAATATAATAAAAGAGGAAAAAATTAATAAAATTTTAATATTATGATATTGTTAATATAAATTCATAACAGGAAATAATAATTAGTAATTAGTAGTGTAAAAAAAGTTGCGCATTTGTGTTTATAAATGTTAAGTATTCAGTGATCAGCTACGATAATCGATCGCTTCAGGAAAACGAGGAAAATGCATGACATACGGGAAGAGCATTCATTTCTTCTGTGAGAATCGATTGCATATACCGTTTACAGCCAGATGAGCCGTATATGTCGTGGCACCAACGCGATTGGACGCAGTACAGGTATAATCGCCAGCGTGTCGAGCCGCGACCGATTCGATAGTTAAGACACTGTTCTTTCGATTCGTGCTGCCTACTACTACATCAGAGTCGCGACTGTCGATTGGCGTTCCGTTAAAAGTCCAAGTTATTTCAATAGGCTGATCGCCCTTCGTGACAGAGCAGGTGATTGAGACCAGCTCGCCCCAGCTGGCCGGCTCATCCCCGAAAGCGAAAGGTAGTATTTGCGGGGCAACTGGAAAGAGCGACTGGGAGAAACGAGACAAGAAAGAGCAAGTGTGCATTTCCTAATCGCGTAATTCGGAGACATTTTTACATGTATCGATTATGACGTTCGTTTCAGTCAAGTGCGATATGGACTGCTAGATATAAGGTTGGTATGGCGGTGGAGTATGTACCTTGTTTTATCACAAGAAATCTTTCGGAAGAGGTCTTTTAGGATAGTGGGTGCGGGTTCGGGAAAACTTGAGGTTCGTGATAGTTGTTATGTACTGTGAGTTTATTGTAACGGAAACCGTGCCGAGGGAATTAGGGTCGTACCGTTGACGGTCAAAGCTGTCGATCGACTGACGGAACCAGCTAAATTTGACGCGGAGCAGGCGTACTCTCCGGCGTGGCGCGCCGAGACGCCGTCGATGCTGAGGGTGCTCAAGTGCTTGCTGATTTTGGTGATCGTGATACCCGTATCTTTTGACGTGTCGATCGGTACGCCATCGAACGACCACGATATATCCATGGGCATGTCGCCCTTCAGGATCGAGCAGGGCACGGACACGGAGTCTCCCCAATTGGCGATCTCGGCATTGAAAGCGATTGGTAGAAGCTGCGGTCCGACTAAAGGTGTCGTCAAACAAATCATGCTTCATTACCGAAAAGGATGCAACGGCGTCTGCGAATGATTCTCGGTGATTCTAACAAACACCTATATGCGTTAGTCAACTACCCGTCGAACGGTCTCATTAAAGCTTTCAGAGGATTCAAGTAGAGGCAGAGGATTTAACAACATTGACGCGAAGGAAGCGTGACAAACGAGGGAATAACTATGGTGCTGTTTGCAAGGTCTGTGCAAGGGATAAGATAGAAGGTGATAAAACGCAACTGAAGTATGATAAAGACTGTGTTCTCTAGGAACAAATAATCCCGAACCATTGACGGTGAGGACGGTCGAGTGGGAGGCTGTCCCAGCCGCATTTTCGGCGGTACAAACGTACTCCCCCGCATGTCTCGCGGTGATGACCGAGATCATGAGCATGCTAACGCGATCCGCGACCTTCTTCGCGAGTACGCCGGAGGAGCCGCCCATCTCTTCTCCGGGATAGCTCCAACGTATGTTCAACGGCAGGTCACCGCTTGACACGATACACTGCAGATTCGCAAATTCCCCGGCATTCATCGGTAGCTTCGTGAACGCAAACTCCTGAACGATCGGCGGCACTGAAGATGGAGGAGCGATGTATGGATGTATACGATTATACGCGTCCCGCGTCAATGTGCCACGCTCGTGGATATCATAGACATGTTACATTCAATCTCGAGTTGCAGCGGGAATATTCCGATTGTGCGACATTCAAGGTGTTCTTTCTCAATTACTAGAATGCCGAAGTTTGATTCTGTCTCAGGTATGTGAATTCAATATGTGCCGCGGGAAAACTTGGTATCTTATCTCATTGTCAGCATGAAACAATGCCTATAACACGCACGAATGCGTGGCATTTGTTGCTACGCGAGACGGTCGCGCAATGGGAGAAGAGAGATCTGAATTGAAAACAAGCGCAACATTTTCTTACTAACGATTCAATCGGCCACCGCCATACCAACTCCCAGACTTTCCCACGAATGTGTGTCCTCTCTGTAGATCGATGTACGTTTGCTCTACGTTATTAAGTGGTCGGCAACGTCCACTAAATGCAGTTTCCGAATCCGTGCCCTTTAAAGTCTACGACACGTTCCCTACACGCGTGAACAACATCCTCAATAAACAATTTGCCGGTACCTCCGGCTCGGTATCATAATCAATACGAAACGGTGCGATGTAACAAAGTATATTGATGATTAAGTAACAGACACGAAAATCTGCTGTAAAGAAAATAGCTGCAAATAAACGTTTGCTATCCTAATATTATTATAGTTAACACATTTATCTCGATGATCGGTCGGTTTGTTGGCCGATGACTGAAAATATAAATATACCCTTTGTTTTCGAAATTATTTAGGAGACAGATTATTTTAATCGATAAACAATTAATTGCTAAACAAAACATTAATTGTTCTGTGCATATTAATTATTGCATATATTATTTGTGCTAAATGTATTTAAGATTATAATATTAATGATAGAGTAAACTTCTATTTGATTTATGAATATTCTGTTACATTAAAATTTTTCACCTTAGTATTAAGTAAATTTTTCATTAAAACTCAATTCTCTTAATAAGTTCCGTGCCGCGTGAATCGCCGGTGACGTACGCTAGACTTTCCATTCAGGCCGGAAAATATTTTGGAAAATGGAGATTAAAAAACAGACTTTTTTTATTTTAGAGAAAAGTATCAAGTAAAAAACAGGTTTTGTAACCAAAATGGTACAGAATTCGTGAAAAATATATAGAATTTATGTTAAAAATAATGTAGAATTTATTAATTTTATTTCACAAATCTGGAGACATGATAGTGTCTCGGCGCTAAAACAAACGCAGCGATACTATATAATAACTATGTTGCGTGGGTCATCGATGACATGGTAGATAAATTACGAAAAATTTGATTCGGCACGGAGCGTATTAAATGTCAATAATTCTTTTACTTTTAAGATACTATTTTATATGAACAAAAAATTAATATTTATATGAAATTAAAATATTATATTCGAAGAAAAATGCTAGGAAAACAAAATGTCAAACTTACCCATGACTTGAACTTCCAGTGTTCCACGTGCGCTGTAACCTTGTGCATTACGTGCCACGCAAGTATAGGTTGCTTGGTCGCTCATTCGTTCAACATTCTCGATGATGAGTGTGCCATTAGGGAAGACCTTTTGCTTTCTGTTGATTGGCAGGACCCTGGTATCTCGTTCCCAAACGATACTTTCGATCGGGTATCCAGCAACAGGACAAGTGACACGCAAAGTTTCTCCAGCAACGATGGCCTTCTTGTCCATGTGACGAATAAACGGCAAACCATAAACGTTGAGACGGGCAGAATGCTCGGCAGCTCCAACCTGACAGAATTAAACATTGCACATTTAGAATATCCCTACGGAGGATTTAAATAAAAAATTATACAACAGGTGTTCGATAAAGATTGTAATAACGCTTAAAATTAGATTCCTGAGATTATTTTGAAACAAAAATTATAATACCAAAATATTAAGGGAAGCTATAATAATTTTTAAATTATAAACGTCTAAAGTTATCGAATCATACCGCCCAAAATTCGCGCGTTCAGATGTGATACAATAGAAAATTCAACCATACTTAAGCGCACGAATTTTATACGGTATGATTCGCTAACTTTAAATGTTTATAATTCAAAAACTATTATAGCCTTGACATTTTAGTATTAAAATTTTCATCTCAAAATAATCTCAGGAATTAAGCGTTGTTACAGACTTTACCCCGGTCACCCCTGTATATCAGACAAATATACAGCCTTGACCATAAACGCAATGTTTTACATCCAATGAAAAGTAAATTAAAAATAGATTTATTAAAAAATAATATTTATTTTTATAACAATTTTAATATTTTATTAATTTTCTTTTGGCTTTTATTTATTTATCGTGTTTTTTCCAATACATGATTGAAGGTGTTTTATGTATACTTATAGCTGCATTATATTATACATATATTTATTTATTAATGATTGATAAACAAAATTTAAATAAAATAAGTCTACACATTTTTATATAAAAAAATTTAATAAAAAAACAAGAGAACCAACCTTTGACGCAGCGATGCACTTGTAGAGACCACCATCATTGGTATGAATGCTCGAAATATTCAGATGCGACACGACATCACCATTGACCGTGACGTATTGTCCCACTTGCAGTCTCTCGGTGTTCGACAACCGTTTTCCATCAAGTTCCCAGGTAATTTCGGGGGTAGGATTTCCGCTGGCTACGCACTTCAAAAACATACTCGGTCCGGGTTGAAGAGTCTCTTCGGCGAAGGCTTGACGGATCTGCGGGGGCTCGACTGTCGATAATCAAAGAGATGAAAAGATAATTCTGTTGACAATCACAGCGTTATCTTTTGTTTTCGCGGCATCAGTTTTTCTAATTAACGATTTCATATTCATTTACAAATATCACTTCAACAAAATTATTAAAAAAAAGTTTTATTAATGTTAATTAATAATGTGAAATAAAGTTTAATTCATGAAAATTTTTTATCTTACAAAATTATTATCAAAATTTTTAATTGAATTAACCACACTAAAAAAAAATTTCTGGTTTAAAATTAATGAACCAGAAGATTCTGATTATATTAATCAGAATTCTGATAATTCAACTAGAATTATAATAGATAAATTCAATTGGAAAGGTCTAATTTATTCATTTTTAACTAATTTCGATTAATCCAACTAGATTCTTTTCCCAGTACACAAATATAGTAAATCAGTTTACATAGAAAATGCCATTACTGGTAATTAGTAAAAAGGGTTATTACTAATTTAATTACACCATTGGAGGAAAATAGAATAAAATTTTAACTTACATCTGCCACCAAGTTTTAACTCTGCCGTTGCTTGCGCACTTTCCTGATCGTTTCTAACGAAACATTGGTACATTCCCTTGTCCTCTTTTTTCACACTCTCGATTCTCAACACGCGATCTTCCAATCCAAGGGGCTTTCCATCTTTGAGCCAGGAGATGGTCTTGATCGGATTGCCTTGGACGGTACAAGTGAAGGTCGCTGGTCTTCCAAAATCGATGGTCTGCGTGCTAGGCTCGATTTCCGCGGTCAGCGGCGCCGTAACAGTCAAAACGGTCTCCACACTCTCGCCGCCGACGGAATTGTTGACGATGCAAAGATATTTACCGGAATCTTCGACTCGGGCTTCACGGATGATCAGAGTGCCGCTGACCTGACGTACACGCTCATTTAGTGGAACTGGCTGACGCCTCAATGTGCCCTCGATGAACTTGTACCATCTGGAACAAGAAAATAAAAACTACCGATTTTCGCGTCAATACCGGAACGAGAATTGCTCGTTCCGTATCTTTAGTCGCTTATATAAATCAAAATTTATATCGCAAAATGGAACAAGAATATATCAGTTAATTTTATAAATTTTATTTCTTATGTAAATGACTTATAAACCAATTTTTTATAATTTATAAAATATTTTTCTATTGTTTTTATATATATTATTACAATATTTTTATTATAACGTACAGCTTACACAAAACTCTAACTCGGGAGAATGAGACACGTACAAGACTGTGAACATTTTATAAATCCACGCGAATAACACTATTTGTTCCATTCTACGCTATTATGCCTTAAATTCTATATGCAGGGCTTTGGGCGTCTCTGGGCACGGCCTTCCGTTTCTCCACCGATCTATCGGTGTCACATCTCTTTCGCGAAATAATTTTGTACAAGAACAAAATCACAATTCAAGAATAAAATAAGATGTTTCTACTGTAGCCTCACGATCGAGAAGCAATGCAGGCGGGGCGCAACAGAAGAATAAAGACAATGACGACGACAATAGATTAATAAAAGCAAAAGAGAATACGTAAAAAAGTATTCACATGTCGATTCTTGCCGCGATAAAATCCCTGAGGAAGAAGGTGAGGGGCGATTGTGTGCAGTGTGAAAGCAATGAACGATTATACTCGATTCTTCATGTTATTCACAACGGCGCTCGTCACTGATTAGCTTAGGCAAGGAGGGTGTAAAAAAGAAACGCCAATAATCCAGAATAAAATGATGTAACCAAGCGATCGCAATAGCGGTTTTTTGACGTGATTTGTTGTAGGCGGGTGCTAGTGCAAGGACTCTCTTTCATACTTTTCTATGTAAGCAACAATATCTCTCACACATAACAATACATGTCGCGATACAAAATCATTAAAAAATTCGTCCTCTAGCATTGATTAACCAATTCCAGAACTGTAAATAGAATTTGCGAGATATTGTCGAACGTACAATCACAAATGGTGGCGTTTAGTGGAAGGCGATTGGGCAGGGAACAAAAATGGTAATGGTGAATTGGCGGTACGTTTAATGGCGATGGTGCAATTGGACGACGTGAAAAAAATGTTAAGGTTCGATTCTCCTCAATCACTCACACACGCCCAATGTGTATATGAACGAGCGATCGACTTCTTTACCTTTTGTTTTGAACGAGTGAGAGAGAGAGAGGATGGGGAATGAATTAATACGAGCGGATGAACGGAGGCACGAGAAGGTGGTAAGGACTTACCAGCCAAATATTGTGGGACTTATTTGGAGGTGTGCAGGTGTAGGGCAACATTGACCGCCCCATTGATCGGGTGATATCCTCTCGGACCACCCGGATCAGCACCGAGGATACCGGGGGAGCAGAGGGCCCGCATCCTTTTCGAGGTCGCGCTTCCGTCACCTATCTCGAGGGTTGAGGGGAGGATCCAGTTGGCACTGAAAACCAACACGTCCAATTGGCCCCGGATCAGGGATATACATTTCGTCATTAGCACTATTGTTTGTGACTCGTGTAATATCGCGTTTAGTTTACATTCGGAATTAAAAGGCCATCGAAATTATTAAACCGTCGCATGAAAATCGAGAGCATCAGTTATTTTCAGCACCTTTCCAAGCTCTGCTCTAATCTACGCTCTCTCTCGTTCTCTTCCCCTCTCCTCCTCCTTCTCTACGTCTCTGCACCGAGTGTCTTAAAAATACTTTTACATTTCTTCTCTGGATTTCATAATATTATCCTATCTCTGTATTAAAAAATCATGTCCTTTCTTCTTGCCCCTGTCAAATCTTACGGTACCGCCACCCGACACGGGGTAGAGGGTAAGGATGGAAAATATTAATAGTGAATACAGGATCTGTGCCCCGCGGAGCGTGAGACTACATCCAAATCAGAGAGAAAAAAGATCTGTACGGAGGTGTGTACCTAGTAATCGGGGCAGGAAAGCCTTGTGCCGCACACGCCAGCGCCAGAGACTCGCCCTCTACCCCGCGGTACTTATTAAGGCCGTCACCAGTCGTCTTCGGGGCAGTACGACCAGACGGCTCTGAAATAAATAGATTGCCCAAAGTGTGTGAGAACTTCGTCCCTTGATAACGAAATTTCGGGTCCATTCTATTTTTTAATTCAACTGCGGAACCGGTACGCGACGTTCGAATTTTAAGCGACTAACAGTTTTATACATACCCTATGCCTTTGCGTTCGACCTGGCTTAAGTCGACAGAATTTTAGCATGCAATCTACTCACCTGACTATGATGCCAATCTTGCCAGATAGTGATCCGATTTTGAATGCAATGTTGTAGTAAGTTTACATCTGATTATTTACTGCACGACACTCACATCTAATTAATATAACGTAATGACAGAAGATGTTTTAAAATTTATATTGCATTTATTCTGTTACTATATACAGGATGGTCTAGACAACCCGCAAGAGCCGGCACATACATATTCCTCGGGAAAAAGTGAATCGAAAGTGTCAATAGCAAAATGTTGTAATATCAATAGTTTTTAAACGATGAAAATGTTCAACCACAGGGCATGAAGCTCGAGCCATCAGGTGCGATGCAACTAAGCAGCTGGCCACGCGAACGCTTTGACGGATACCGCTAAACGGCACGGAACCACTTAGTTGCGCCGCACTCGATGGCGCGAACTTCATGCCCTGTGGTTGGACATTTTCAAAGCCTCAACGTTTAAAAACTATTGATATTACAATTTCATGTTATTGACATTTTCGACTCACTTTTTTACGCACACATATACATAAACTCAAGCGTCACACAGTAAAAGTTTGATGTAAACTTGCTATTAACTTGGATATCTATCCGCTAAACACAATACAGTATAAGAATAACAATGTTATAATTTCCTACTCAATAATATAACTGTTATGCACATGTGCTGTTACATTATATATATTATATTATATTTTATATTATTAAGTGGGAAATTATAATATTGATATAATGTTACTGTCATTTTGTGTTTAACAGATACTCCGAATTCACAAAATTGTTAACTCCTTAACTCATTAAATAGTGCACTATGCCTATCTGTAATTTTCTGTAGCTCATCGAGAACATTCTCACACGAGCACATTTTATTTCAGTAATTTGTAGAACGTGATTCGCTTCATTGACGACGACGATGAAGAACAGAGAAAAAAACAAATTATACAAATTCGCCCGCATGGAAGAAGACTTCCAAAGTCTATACCTTGTGAGAGGCACAGGGTATCCCTGAAGCGAATGACTCAACGCAATATCCTGACCTTCAACAGCCAGAACAACTTCGAATCCGAACTTCTTGCCTGATGATCGTGGCGCGATTTTATTTGTGCCCTCTGAAATAGTATCGTAAAGAAAACACAGGAAGGAAGATATTGGAGCGATTTTTGCCAATGTACCTTGTCAATGGGACAGGAAAACCCTGAGTGGCGCATTCCAAAGCCGCCATACCCGTCTTTGGTACATCTATCAACTTGCCACCTTCGTAACGTTCACCGGCAATGCGTGGCGCGACATTGCCGGTTGGTTCTGTAAGCAGGGAATCGGGGTGCAAGAACACGAACTAGCGTGGAAGACATATCTCATTTCTTCAATTGGACCTTCCCGCAATTGTATCGCAATTAAAAATGAGATATACAAACGTTATTTCGAAATTGTCTGATATGCGATTCTTATTCACATCGCAATTTGTCAATTGACTTGTAAATGTCTGTACCTGAATGCAGGTGCTGGGAAACCCTGAACAGGACAAGGTAGGCCAACCGTCTGTCCGATTAGGATGTCCCTTTTTAATCCGTTCACATCCTTGTCTCGTACGTTCGGACGTACACTGCCTCGCGGTTCTGCAATTGCGCAAACATTGGGGAAACTCGGGAACGCGACGCCACCATAATCATCATCATCATCATCATCATCATCATCATCATCATCATCATCGTCATCGTCGTCGTCGTTATCAAATGTATTGTTGACGCACGGCACACAGAATGCGGGTTTGCGGACGGTAAAATGTGAAGATAACGATTGATAACTGCATTTTACATTCTCAAGAACTGCATTACAACGTCATGTTTTTAAAAAATTTCTTTAATCAATTTTACTAAAATTTCGTACAATTATCAATAAATTTGAAAAAGGTTAAATAATTTTATATGTACAAATTATGATAATTCAGTGACGATTTTTGTTAAATTGTTCGAACAGCTCACCTGAATAAAGGTGACGGGCTGGCTTGAGCCTCGCAAAGCAACGTCACTGCATGACCCTCGTTTATCATCATTTCATCAAATTTAGATCTAGGCGGCAATCGAGGCGGACTACTTCCAACCGGTTCTAAAAACGAAAAGGGCGAAAGGTTCACCTACCACGAAATCAATCGATATCTTCACATATATGCTTCAATCTAATATTAGTACATGATCGGCAGGATGCGCTTCTTATTTTAGTAAAAACAAATGTCTCCATTTCCTGACTTATAAAAAGTCAATTAATGTTTAAAATAAATGTTTAATCAATGTTAAAAATTAAACATTTTTAGTAGTTTTCTCTTGAAAATTTTTTCTTGAAGAATCTAAAATCAAATACTTCTTTTACATGTGTACATAAATTCCATTTAGAACTGTATCTTCACTTAATCTCTTCACTGTATCTTCATTTAATTTCCATCCCGGATAAGAAAATTCTTATCAAGAGCCAATATTTGCATTGCATTTACGTCGGCGTACCTGAAGACAGGAAGTGGATTCGCTTGAGCCTGACACAGCATTACCATGGCAGTTCGCGACGCGATTGAGAGGACAGTTATTTTAGCTGTTGGTGGCACCTTCGGTGCTGCGCCAGTTACTGGCTCTAGATACGTAAACAATAAAGCGATAAAACGAATCAAGGTATGTTGATTGATATGAATCGCTTAAGGCTTAAGTGAGCAAAGCTATCCTTCGCCAAGAAAAGAGCTATGTCGAAGATATATCTTTAAGCGCGAATAAAATTGATGAAACGGAGGAAAGTCTTCGCTACAGATTACAATAAATAATTGTAAATACCTATAAGCTGGAAGAGGGTGTCCCTGCGCGGGGCACAACATTGTTACAGCCACTCCGACGACATTCGCGAGAACATCATATTTAGATGTGGAAGCGACTCGAGGCTTAGCACCGTTTACAGGTTCTACAGAACGATAACGTTACGAGAACTGTATCGCCGCGAATAAACAAGAACAAGTTCTACGAAAATATGTTTAATTAAATATGTCGATGGACTGACCTAAATGCGGGAGCAGGGAATGCCTGTGCATCACACAACAAACTAATTTCGGCATCATTCGTCACTTCGAAGGAATTGGACTTTGCCGTTTTCGGGAATTTTGGGGCTACACGACCTGCTGGCTCTAATGCACATAAATTTTATTTTTCATAACCTTTTCGTTACGACAGAACGCGCCACCGCCATATAACATTTATTTATCAATTTGTTAAAAGTAAACTGAGTACATATTACGTAAAAGATATTTCAAAAATGCCGATAAAATATATATATATATATATATATACATATAGACTGACCTAAATGCGGGAGCAGGGAATGCCTGAGCATCGCACAATAAACTGATTTCGGCTTCACTCGCCACTTCAAAGGAATTGATCTTTGCCATTTTCGGAAATTTTGGAGACACTCGACCTGCCGGCTCTAACGCGTAAATAAAGTTTATTATTTCTCTTAGAATAATACGTCTGCGTCTATAAAACGCGCCACCGCCAAGCAATACTTGTATTTTCTTTTTTAAATAAGAATAAGAAGATACCACATAATACAGATATATATACTCGTATATACAAAACTAAGTGAATATGTTGATGGACTGACCTAAACGCGGGAGCAGGAAATGCCTGTGCATCGCACAACAAACTTATTATGGCACCGTTCGCCACCTCGAATGAATCAATTTTTGCTGATTTCGGGAATTTTGGAGATACGCGACCTGCTGGCTCTAGCATAGAAACAATATTTATTATTTTTCTTAAAATAATATATCTATGTCTGGACAAAACGAGCCACCGCCGTACAATATTATATATCATAAGTAGCCTACTAAAATTCAATCAAGAATAAGAACTGCATAGAATACATATAGACAAAACTAACTAAATGTATTAATGACTGACCTAAATCCGGGAGCAGGAAATGCTTGTGCATCGCATAATAAACTTATCACGGCACCATTCGCCACCTCGAATGAATCACTTTTTGCAGATTTCGGAAATTTTGGAGATACACGACCTGCTGGCTCTAGCGTGGAAACGAAATTTGTTATTTTTCTTAAAATGACATCTGATAAAACGTCAGGACAAAACGCGCCACCGCCGTATAATTTCTTATTAAATAATTTACTAAAATTAAATTTAAAATACTTATCCAAAATAAAAGAAAGCGAAGATATTAAAAATGTAAATGAAAATGTAGATATACAATAGTAGATATACAATAAAAGTAATTAAAAAAATTGTTTTGTAATTATTACTTTCAATGATAAAAAGATTTACAAATTTAGAAATTTGCATTAATAAGATATAAGAGAAATGTACATTATTAACCATAGTTCAAAAACAACAAATCATACAATACTTCTACTTTAACAGCAACCATTTTTATGAGACTCCAAATTACGCGATCTATGTCCAGTTCGTTAACATCATTACCTGTGAGTCGGAGGTGGCGATGCTTGAGCGGCGCAAGTTAGCGCGAGTGACGATTTCGCATTTCTTACATAAGTGCTGCTTTTCGCGTCGCTCTGAAAGGCGGGCGCCTTCGATCCCACGGGCTCTGGAGCGAAGCGAGAAAATCATCTGAATATCCTCCGATAATTTTTCATTCTCTTAATTACCTGAACGACGGTACGGGGAACCCCTGCGCAGGACAGTGTAAACTCGATGCACTTCCCGCAGCGCGTATAAATGAGTTGACGCGATCGTCACTCGAGAATTTCGGCCCCTTCGCTCCCATTGGCTCTGATAATATAAGAATCGCATAGATCGATTTCCGAATTAAAAGTTATACCGTAAAAACTTGCATTTCTAAGATGTGAAAACGAAATATTTTTTTAAAGAAAATAAAGCGAGCCACGATTATTATTCCACCGTTCTGACTACACCACGAACTCCCATTAATGACGTACAAATCAATAAAGGGCACAATCACGCTGTAAGTACCTGAACGCTGGTACTGGGTGACCCTGCGCTTGGCACTGCATCGCAAATCCGACCATCAATTTAGTTCGTAGCCATCGTTTCGCGTCACCCGTGACGGAAGGCGCCTTACTGCCTACCGGTTCTTTACACAAATAAATTACAGACCTTTGTTGTACCAATATATTACACTGAAAGAAATGTTTGATATGTATAACCATTTCTTTTATTGATATGTGACTAACAAAAATGTTTTTATTTTTTCATTAAAAAATTGTGTTACTCTAACCAAATTTTGATTAGAACACAATTTTTTAATGAAAAAATAAGAAAAGTTTTGTTAGTCACATATCAACAAAATAAATGGTTATACATATACGTATCACAACATTTTCAGTGTAGAGAAATAAAGAAATTGTCCTAAAATTTATTTTCAGCAAAATAGATATCGTTACTGACGCGATTAAGAAAAGAATCATTTCAATATAATTCGCCCATATGATTTACCTGAACGCTGGCACAGGGTAAGCTTGCCCTTGACAGAGAATCACGATGTGTGTATCGGTACGCCTTTCCATCAAACTGCCCTTCTCTCCCAAAATCGAAGGTGCCTTACTGCCGACCGGTTCTATCGACGTATGTACAATACATTTTAGGCCCAATTACACCAACGTTACTATAATTTTAAGCGAGGCTTATTGTTAGAACTTTCTCTCTCTCTCGACTTTAAAAAGAGAGAGAAAGAAAGTTTTAAGCCTCTTATTTAAAGTAAAAATAACGTTGGTGCAATCGAGCCTTAATCTCTCAAAAAAGGAATCGCGCGACAATGTCGTTACCTAAAACTGGGCACAGGGTGACCCTGACCAGGGCACGTCAGTACCACGCTGGATCTCGCAATTGTCTCTTTCCACCCGCGTTTCATTTCGCCAACCAGCGCCGGTGCTTTACTTCCAATCGGTTCTAACGATTAAAAAAACGAAAATGTTTCAAACAAAACCGGAGGTAAAGAAAATGACTCATTCATTAAAAAAAAAAAAATATCTTGAAAGTTTCTTTTTCAAGAAAAAATTTTCCGCTTTTTTCAAAATTACACGTGTTTTCCTGCGTTAAAGAAGTTTACCTAAAACTGGGCACAGGGTGACCCTGAGCTGGGCAGAACAATATCACCGTGTAGCCTACCCTTCTTTCCTTCCATCCACCTTTCAAATCGCCTGTCAATGCCGGTGCTTTGCTGCCGACCGGTTCTAGCGAACAAAAGCCATCGAGAAATCAGAAAAAGTGGCACGCAACAATCTTCATTAACTGCGGTAACTTTACCTAAAAGAGGGTACAGGATATCCCTGCGCCGGACATGGTAATACTGCGCTTGAACTCGCTCTCTTCTTCAGCCATCCCCCTCTTATCTCGTTCGTGAGAGCCGGGGCTTTAGTTCCGATCGGCTCTGACGATTACAAAATTCATGCAATCAACCAATTTGGACCTTATAAAATTAATTGTACATGGAAAGAACGATTTTGCTAAAGTATCTAAAAATTTAGTTAGATAATAGATCTGAAAATAATAGTGTTAAACCATCAAAATAATTATGTAGAGAATTTAAATAATATCGCAAAAAATTTTGATATTCTAATAATCAACTTGAATGTCTTACATAATTATTTTGATAATCCAATAAAATTATTTTTAGATCCGAATTTAGCTACAATAAATTTTTAAATACTTCAGCGCAAAACCGTTCTTTCCATATACATATTACTCAAGCTCAAGATTAATCTTTTATTCCGGGTTGAAGTAACAAATCGATCTTTGTGTCTATTGTCAAGACTCAAGAACAATAAATCGAAGCGAATCTAAAAAAATTCGAGGGTAGTAAAAAGCAATAAGTAATCGATTTATTTTTAATTGAAATATAAGTCTTACAAGACGTATCGGATCTAATGACATTTTTCCTGTGCTATATCATTACCTAAAGGAAGGAACAGGATATCCCTGCGCCGGGCACGACAACACAGCATTGGAGTGCGTTCTTTTCCTCAACCATCCAGCTCTTAACTCGCTGAGAGCCGGAGCTTTAGTTCCAATCGGCTCTAACGATTACAAACGTGCATGAGAAACCAACTCGGACTTTATAAAATTAATTATACATGCTTATATTTCCATGTTAATTAATTCCACACATTCAAGCTTGTCAATAAGTGTTTTATCTGGATTCGAAGAAGATTAATGCTTGAATTTATTGTCATAATTCATAAACAATAAATTGAAACGAATTGAATAAATCCAAATATAATAAAAGTAAACAATTTTTAATTTAAGTTGACGTAGATAAATTTTGTAGAGATTAAAGTTTAACCTAAATTATAACATCGGATCTAATTACGCTCTTTGCCATTACCTGAAAGAGGGTACAGGATAGCCTTGCGCCGGGCAAAATAATACCACAGCAGATCGTGCCCCGATCTCTAGCAACACGCCCTTCACGATGCCGGTTATCGCTGGCGCTTTGCTTCCGACTGGCTCTAATCATTTATGCAACGATTGCTCAGCAAGTTGATATTTTTACTCAACGCTTGTCGTGTTTTTATGTAACCTTTCTGTTGGAACAGGAGACCCCTTCGTTAGCAAGAAACGGAGCGGAAAATCGGAGCAGAAAACGATGCGGGCGCATAGAGATAAAATGTGAAATGAGAAGCAATAACTTGTTCTTGATTCATATAATTGATCTTTGGTTTTAAAATAAAACAAATTTTTTAGTTCTTTTTGTGAAGTATATATGTACATGTAGAAGCTATACCTAAAGGAAGGCACGGGATATCCCTGTGCTGGACACGGTAATACGACATTGGATGCTCTGCTTTTTTCCATCCACACACCTTTCACATCGCCCGTAAATGCAGGCGCCTTGCTGCCCACAGGTTCTAATATATAAAGAAACATGCGATAAACAATAACAGAATTACGTCTTTTAGCTACGTAAAACAATAACGTCTTTTATCTCTAAAGGGACAGGGAACCCTTCTGCGATTAATAGAATAATATAAATCAATGAAACTCTAAGCCATGTGACTCACATTATTTTTAGAACAATCAATAGGACAACAATTAAAAGACTGATACAAACGCATTTAGACAAGGTATCTGATGGAAAATAAAATGGCTAGAAATAAAAATAAAAAAATAGGTTTTTCAAAAGAAACACAAATGCGAATTTACCTAAACGAAGGTACTGGATAGCCCTGAGCAGGGCAAAACTGTACAATGCTGGAAGCAGCTTTGCTATTCATCCAACCTCCTTTCAAAGTGCCTGTCAACGTCGGCGCTTTGCTCCCCACTGGCTCTGACAATTTATATACAGACACGGTCATGCTATGAGAATCATTTATTTCTCAATCTACGGCTTTAGTACTGGTGTGCATGTACCTATACGTTGGTACTGGGAACCCCTGCGCGGGACAAAACAGGGTTAAATCGTCTCCTCGAACACGATGGTACCAAGCTAGCTTCGCATCGTTCGAAAACTTCGGCTTCTTCGTAGCGACCGGTTCTAATTACATGACAGGCAGGGAAATAAATCTCTTCTCGCATGTTGCGCGAATGACCAATTGCTCTATCTACGGTTTAGATACTTGCGTGCATGTACCTATACGTTGGAACTGGGAACCCCTGCGCGGGACAAAACAGGGTCAAATCGTTTCCACGAACGCGATCGTACCAGGCCTTCTTTGCGTCGCTTGAAAATTTCGGCTTCTTCGTAGCGACCGGTTCTAATTAAATACCGGAAAATGAAATTCTCTTTGCATGCTGCAACAATTCTCTATTTACAGTTCTATTTACAGCTTTAAACAGCTGACGTGCATGTACCTATACGCGGGAACTGGGAACCCCTGCGCGGGACACAGCAGAGTCAGATCATCTCCTCGAACACGTTCGTATCCAGCAAACTTTGCATCGCTCGAAAATTTCGGCTTCTTTGTGGCGACCGGTTCTAATTGTACGATAGAGAATAAAATGTGGTTCCTCTCGCATGCTGCGACAATTGTCGCTCTATTTGAAGCTTTAGAATATTTGCACATGTACCTATACGTGGGAACTGGGAACCCCTGCGCGGAACACAACAAAGTCAGATTGTCTCCTCGAACGCGATCGTACGAAGCCAGCTTTGATTCGCTCGAGAACTTCGGTTTCTTCGTGGCGACTGGTTCTAATTACATCGAGAGGCATGAAGCAATCATCGCATAATTGATCAGATTCTAACATATTTCAAAAGCTAGGAAACCTAAATAACCACACCGAGAATTGTTAAATTCTCATCTATTACAATATATTATGAGTACTAATAATTTTACGGAGACATTTGAATTACGAAAGCATGTATCATGTAATTTGAATAAATGGTTAATGACAATGCAATTATTAGGTACCTGGTTACAGGAATAGGATGCCCCTGCGCGTTACATAGCATGTTCACTTCCAATCCGCGGTTACGAACAAAAGAGAATGTTTTTACGTCTCCTATAAATGCGGGCGCTTTGCTCCCCATCGGTTCTAAATGAGAAAATAAAAGACGTCACGAAAAATGTGTATGCTTTACATGACTGAACCCTCGGACAGAGTTCCCCTCGTCGACTTTTCGTAACGATTGTTCCGTGAAAGATATGAAAGAAAAATCAACCGATGTAACAAGTAAATGTAATATTGTAAATAACATAAGATTACCAAAAAAAAGATGTTTTAATACACATATAAATTGCATATATATATTTTAAATGTTTTAAAATCATTTCTGAATTCTGATATTCATGAAACGATTTTTACAGACAAAT